CTTGGGGCTGCTCAGGCTGGGGCGGGGTCAGGAATTCCGGGCATTCTTGAGGGATTCAGTCCCAAGAGAGAAAACAAAGGGCGAAGTGACTTGAGATAGGTCACCTACTATACGCAGGGTCAATAAATGCCTGCCCTGGTCTGTAGCTCCCAGCCAGGTGCTCGCCAAGTCACCCGAGGAGCTGTAAAAACACTTCAGTTTGTGCCCACCACTACTAGGGACCCAATATTTTCTCAAAGTTCCCTGGGTGGAGGGGTGCTTTTCAGATGGGCAGGGTCATTGAACCCTCCCGGAAAGAACTGAGCTCTATGGTTTGATTCAGTTTTGTATTAGAAATAAATGCAAAAATTGTATTTTACTTCTTAATGTATCTGTGCTCATTTAATATAAATGCAGTTGGTAAAAAATAGTTTTCATAAAAAAGGTAAATTCATGATCCACGTACAGATACAAAACTGAGCATGTGTGAGACTTATTTTACTCACAGGAGGGCAAGACAGATACTATAACCAGTTCAAAGGAGATATCAAAATGCACAGATTTATACGGAGGGAAGGAATTGAATTGCAAATGGAGGCAAACTGGTTTTTCCATGGAGGGAGGGGGAGTCAATCAATAAGAGGCTCCATCTGACAAGACAATTTGCAAAGCCTTCAGAACCTGCAAAAGAGGCACAAAACAGCTCCAGCACGAAGACCTGGCTGGAAGCACTCAGCTCCGGGCTGTGCTTTAGACAGTGTGTAGTGTTTTATTGGCATGGAAAAGTTTTTCTTCACGATAGTTCAAATAACTATCTGGAAATTCACCTCTTACAGTGCTAATAATGCAGGGCTCTCCCTAAAACACCAAAATTTCAGTCACTCATTGCACGTAACATTTTCCTATTCCCTGGGCTTTCATACAAACACGTTTATTACTAAGTCACTGTAAGGAAAAAGGGAGGCTGGAAGCTCTTGGGAAACAGTAAGGTCTGGGAGTTTGGAGTGCGGGGCACAGAGTTCAAATGGTGTCTGTCACACAATAGCTGTGGGATCCTTCCTTCTCTCGGGGACCTCCATTTCTTTCTTTGAACTTGGTGTATAACAGGATTTCAGAGGCTTCCCCCAGCTCCTTCTCAGTTTAGGTGCACAGAGGAAGTCAACTAAGAACAGGCTTTCTTTGAGAAGAGAATTCTTTGAGTGGTCTCCTTTAGTTATGTAAATGTGGTGGAGGAGGCACCTATTGCCCCAAGGGAAGAGTGGAACTGGCCATTTCTAGGGCTGACAAAGACTGCCCCTTCTCAAGGCCCCTTGGAATGTAGAGCTGGTTGCAGGGGGGAAGGCAAACCATTTTGCAAAGCCAGGGACTTTCAGGAGGAGAGTTAAGACCCAATCCTCCTAAACTATTCCCCCCAATCAGGTTGGGGACTAACTAAAATCTTCTGTCAGGGAATGCCTGGAATGTTGCTTCACTAGGATAGAGAGAACCTAAGTAGTTTGTGAGTTCCCCAGCAGACTATGTAGCTGACTGGGACCCCCCAGACTTAGCACCCTTAGTATGGTGCTGCTCTTAAGGGAAAGATCGCTGAGCTTGTGAGGGTGACTGAAAGGATTCACAGGCTCCACAGCAGCCGCACAGTGAACGTAGCACCTAAGACTGTGCGGGCCTAGTGTTCAACAGCGCCACTATGTGGAGAGAGATGAAACAACTGGAGATGCCTGTTCAGAGTCACCTCCAGAGAATATTCTTTGGACTAGGGAAACCCCTGAGGTTCTTGGTCAGTTTGAGAGTGAGTGGGGTCCAAGAGGGTCATGTTGGATTTTTTTGTCAAGAAGGGCACATGATGGGCTGGACGCAGTGGGTCACGCCTGTAATCCTAGCACTCTGGGAGACTGAGGTGTGTGGATTGCTTGATGTCAGGAGTTCAAGAGACCAGCCTAAGCAAGAATGAGACCCGGTCTCTAAAAATAGCCAGGCGTTGTGGTGGGTGACAGTAGTCCTAGCTACTCAGGAGGCTGAGGCAAAAAGGATTGTTTGAGCCGGAGAGTTTGAGGTTGCTGTGAGTTATGATGCCAGGGCACTCTACCAAGGGCAAAAAAGTAAGACTCTGTCTCAAAAAAAAAAAAAAAAAGAAGGTACCACTTGATGTCAAAAGAAAGAATAAAAGAAAAAAAGAAGGGCATGTGATGGATTTGAGTAATCAATGAGAAAAATTAAAATGTAACCATTATTTCCATATTTGTACCCTGAGTGAGTTAAACTGATAATATGCCCTAACTGCTTATCACAGTAACAGGCATATCAAAAGTGCCAAATAGTAATTGTTATATCATTACCAGGAAGCAAGACTGTAAATGCCTGAATCATCTGGAATGACTTTTGTATTCACTGGGCCCAGCAGGAGCTATCCAGACCGAACCTGAGAAAGGGCTCAGGAGCCAAACTGTCACTGGTCTCTCTGTGCCTTTTGATTACTACCACCCCTGCTCCTTCTCCTTGGACTTTCTGCATTTAGAATCAAATCCAAAGACCCTCCTGAACCCAGATGGCCTGATAACAGCCTGTGTCCAGCAGCCCTTCCACCCTTCTCCTGGGTATTCTTTGGTTGTTTTTTTCCATCACTAGATTGTGAGCTCTGGGCAAACAGAGGCTCTGGGGCACTTTGCTCTCTGTAGCCTATGGCAGGACCTGGCTTCTTCTTCTTCTTTTTTTTTGAGATAGTCTCACTTTGTTGCCTTCGGTAGAGTGCTGTGGTATTATAGCCACGGAAACCTCAAACTCTTGGGCTTAAGGGATCCTCCTCAGCCTCCCAGGTAGCTGAGACTACAGGCATCCGCCACAACACCTGGCTATTTTTTTTTTTTAGTGATGAGGTCTTGCTCTGGCTCAAGCTGGTCTCAAACTCCTGAGCTTAGGCAGTCCACCTGCCTCAGCCTCCCAGAGTGCTAGGATTATAGGTATGAGCCACCACACCCAGCCAGGGCTTGGCTTCTGTGGATGAGTGATAAATAAGCAGGGCCGCTCGGAAGTACCCTGAACTTGGTTTTATGCTCTGTTATTATAATCTTGAAATTTGTAGTATCTTTTTCTTTTATTCAAGATGGGGTCTCACTCTTGTTCAGGCTGGTCTCAGAACACCTGAGCTAACCTTCCACAGTGCTAGGATTACAGGTATGAGCCACCATGCCCAGCCTAAAATTCTTAATATTGTTTTAGAATCAGGGTCCTGCATTTTCATTTTGCACTAAGCTCTGCAAATTGTGTTGACTAAGAGGGAGCTGTGGGAAGACCATGCTAGGGAGGGAGAAATAACAGCAGCACCATCCCTTTCTCCTTTCCCAGGGTTTACACCAGGCAGGTAGGCCCAGGACAGGCCTGCATCTGACCCCCCTTTGGGATGCCCCCAAGCTGGGTGCAGGCAGAGAGCTGCTGGTTTGCTTAGTACCACACCAGTGACTGTCCTCCTGGGTTAACTGCCTTCCCTTGGATGTAAGCAGCTCAGGCCAAGGGCCCTCACATAGGGCAGGAACCCTCAGCTCTAGGCCCCATGGAGCCTGTTTTCAATGACTCCAATTTCACTAAAGGGGCATCAGGGAGCCCACCAACTCCTGAAGCTCCCCACCTAATCCTACCCAGTGAAATATTAGCCTTGTGGACAACTCTGGCCTTGCCCTTGACAAGAGTGGGAAGGCACTGCCTCACATTTGAGCTTGACCTCAGCTGCAGGGAGTAGCTGGATGCCCTGTTAGCTCACAGGTCTCTCTCCTGCTACCCCACTTTAATCCTAGCACTCACCTCCCTCTAAATCCCTTCAAAGAGTCCTTTTGCACCCACCAGCCAAGAATAAGGAACAAACTGTCTTTAGAAACCTCTGGCAACCTGGGCCCCCGGCAGGCGCTGTGATGGAGCTGTAACAGGAAGTTTCACACTAGAAAAAAATCCAGTCCCATTTTATTGAGAAAATAGTTAATCCCTCCATCTTTACCAGGTGACTCCAGCCTGAGGTAGGACGTAGCATCCTTCTGCACCCAACCCATGGGCCCAAGCCACCCCTTCACAGGGACAAACACTGGCCTGCCAGGCCCTGGAGAAGCAGTTAGGGAAGGCTCAGAGGGTGGGGGGATTTTGAAGGGCCTGGGTGCTAGGGGGCAGCTGGAGTAAGGGAGAGGAAGGGGTGGGCTGGAAGAACACCATCACCTCCTGAGGTCTGGAGCCTTCTCCCTCCAAATTCTTCATAAATAAAACTTCACAGTAATAGAGAAATGTCCACTTCCAGGGCCAAACAGGCAGCTTTCCAGCCAGGCCTCAGTAGGGCTGCAGGAGGGACCTCAGCTTCGGCTGGAGTCAGATAGCACTGTGACATTGGGGGGCAGGGGCGCTGCTCTTGTGCCCTGTCAGGGGTGGGGTGTGGCCCACACAGAGGTTCTGAGGCACACTGAGGTAGTCAGAGAGGCTGGTCTCGCTTCCAGACCTTAGAGGATACAGCCAGTAGGCCAGTTCCTAGAAGCAGAGGCTGAACAGACTCCAAAAAGGCCTAGAGCATGAGGAGAGCCTACTGAGGTGCCCTCGAGACTTTGGGGCATGGAATGCGGGGGACACCTGTGAGCCTGCACAGGGTTGAGCTTCTCCTGAAAGATTCACTTGGTCCCTGGGGAGACTGAGGCATTTCACAGAAGGACACTCTTGCCTGTAAAAGCAAGGGCAGCCCCAGATGCCTGGAGCCAGACCTAGCTCTGGTACCTGAGCACAGGATTCCTTCAGAGGGCACCAGGCCTCAGCCTGGGTCAGAGGCCCAGGTCAGGAAGGCTGCAGGGCCTGTGTCCTTGCTCCTTGGGGGACTTCCAGTCTGGTAGCTCCAACTGTCCCCGGGCCTTATTTTCTGGGAATTATCTGCACAGGGAGACCCCTCTTTGGCTACCTGCACCCCACCACACCCAGTGGCATGTAGGGCCCACCCTTCCACCTCCCTGAAGGGACCAAGGGATCTACCTAGGCACTGCGGCTCCAGCCTCAATACCTTGGGGACTCAGAAGAGTGAGCCCTGGCCTGTCCTGGTGGCCTGGCTGGGGTCAGAGCACCTGGAGCTTGCGGGAACAGGTAAGGTTGCCATGCACCAGACCCCACATGGCCAGCAGCTCGGGAGGCATCAGCTTGTGCACAACTAGCATGGAGCGGTAAAAGCACGGCTCCTTGTTCATGCGGCTATTGCGGTTTCGAGAGATGCCAAAAGTCTTGAAGCCCTCGTGGGCTGTGGGCCTCACTCCCAGCACCTCTAGGCACATGCCTAGGAAGACGTCATCGATGGGGTAGAGTTCTACTGTGTCACAGGCATGGTGTAGGCGCCGGGCCAGACCACCAGCCATGAGGAAGCCACCTCCACCAGCATATGGTGGGTAGCTGGCCTTGCTGTACAGGGCTGTGGGGATGTAGTACTTGTTATCCTTCCTGCGGATGGGCCGTGCGTGCTGCAGGACATCACCCACGAACAGGTCCTCCTGTGGCCTCCGGTCAGCCAGAAATTCAAGCAGGTTGGTGGGGTTGACAAAGACATCATCATCACCTTTGAAGACGAAGGGCACATTGGGGCAGTAGATGTCAAGCCACTTGAGGAAATGGATCTCCTTGAGGGTCAAGTTGAAGAAAGTGTCGAGAAAGTCCCACTGCAGGATATCGCTGTAGAGGCGGTCCTCGTAGGCTAGCAGCTGCTGGTAGTGGGTCCGCTCCTCCTGCTTGGAGGCCGTGCCCAACAGGAACAGCGTGCGCACAGCACCGTGGCCCTTGCCTGCTGACTCCTGCTCACGGCCCCAGGTCTGGCGGATGGCCTCGCGGCGGTCATGTTGTGTGATGACCGACTTGATAACCACCAGCAGGTAGACGTCATCTCTGCACTTCTCTGGGTGGTTCAGGAGCATGGGGAAGTATCGGCAGTGGCGATACAAGAGAAACTGCCGAAACTGAGGCTCCAGGCCCTGGAACCAGGGCTGGTGGGTCACGTTGATATTGGCTGAGCAGTTAGTGGTGGTCACGTCCCAAGCCTGGGGACCCAGTGAGGCTGTGGGGGTGGGGGTGTCCACATCCTTCTTATTCTTCCAGAAGTTGTTGGAGTTCACCAATTGTCCACTGTCCTTCTCTAGCCCCAGGGTGGGTAGCGTGTGCTCCTGCAGAAACGGACTGGGAGTCAGACTGCGCTGGAATACTGTCACAGCCACAAGCAGGACCAGGGCAAGGCACACACTCCTGTAGATGGTTTTCTTCCTATGGGGCGGGGGAAAGAACAGATGAGAGGATGAGCCCAGGACTCTTCTGGCCACCTTCTGCAGAGGCTGGGTGGTCCCAGAAGAGCAAGAGGAACTTGGTCACAGACTCAAGTCCCAGAGCCCTTGAGTGGCCAGACAGGGTCCTGCTTCCCCTCCCACCCTGACCCCTTCTCAAGGATCACTGTGGAATCAGCCTCTGCCACTTACATTTTAAATGACTTAAGCCGGGTCTCAACCTCTCCAAGCTGTGATTTCTTCCCTCAAGTAAAGCCAAAACATAGCACTGGAATGCTATATAAAGCACCACTCAGGCAGTGGGCACTGTCACCTCACCCTCAGTACCTCAGGCAGATACCTCTGCCCTGCTCCCTGCCCTGGCACCCCACTGGCTTTCCATCCCTGCACAACCTCAGTAATTATAGGCAGTGGTATCATTAGGTGACTGAACCTGGGTCACTGGGCGGGGCAGAGGTGGTGCTTTGCCCTCTCTGCAGCCACAAGTTGGGGAGAAACTGGAGCCTAGGACTGTCCTCCTCCCTCCCCTCGCTCCCCTCCCACCCTGGGACCCAACAAGCGGCCCTGTGGTTGACAGAGGCCTAAAAATGGAGTAAGCACACACCAGATGACTACTGCCCCCTATCTGCACCTTAACTTCCTCCACCCACTTAACATCCCACCAGGAGACATCAAGTCCCAGTCCACTGCCCCAGGAGGAGACACATTCAGAGTCCCACTCCCAGGGACCCTCCTGGCCCAGGTATCCACAACACACTCATTTCTGAAGCAGAAATTAGAGCTCTTTGCCAGGAGAAGTGCCACCCCAGCCCTCCCATAACAGGTCTCCTCTCCTCTGCTCACCCTGTGGGGGATGCCTAAGTCTCCCCATGTGGAGACAGGGGACTGAGAGCTGACAGAAAAGGGCAAGTCAGCTGAGTGGCCCTGGAGGGCTGAGGGCCAAGGGTTGGCCTAGTAGGATGGCCCTGACCTCCAAGCCAGGAAGCACAGGGTGTCAGGGAGAGAGAAAGGGAGCTAGGGTAGACTCCTGGGCGGCCTGGGGGTGGGGGGGTCGGTCCAGGCAACCAGGTTGAATGAAGGCTGAGTCCCTAGTGTCATTTTTCCACTAAAAGTCCCAAGGTATCCAGGCTTGGGGCTCAAGAAAGAAAGGGTCCGCTCGGCGCCTGTGGCTCAAGTGGCTAAGGCACCAGCCACTTACACCTAAGGTGGCGGGTTCGAATCCAGCCCCGACCCGCCAAACAACAATGACGGCTGCAACCAAAAAATAGCCGGGCGTTGTGGCAGGCGCCTGTGGTCCCAGCTACTTGGGAGGCTGAGGCAGGAGACTCGCTTGAGCCCAGGAGTTGGAGGTTGCTGTGAGCTGTGAAGCCACAGCACTCTACCCAGGGGGATAGCTTGAGGCTCTGTCTCAAAAAAAAAAAAAAAGAAAGAAAGAAAGAAAGGGTCACCTCAGGTGCAGTCTGGGGGTGTGACCTCAGGCCCGACCCTCCTGGGGAGGGGAGCTCAATACTCAGGCTCCAGCCCTCCAGTCCTGGGGGGTCCGGAGAAGTCCTCCGCCCCAGTTCGGGAGGCCGGGCGGGCAGGTCGGGGGGTGCTCCCAGGGGCTAGCCCCTCGGCAGCCCGCACGTCCACCTGCGCCCGCCCACCCATCTGTAAGAGAAACCCCGGCAGGGGGTCTAGGGGCCCTGTTGGGCGGTGGCCAGAACCTCGGAGAAGGAGAACCCCGGGGAAGAGTAGAGGGTCGCCGGGAAACAGAAGGCCTCTGGGAGTCCCCGAACTCGGCCAGAATGGGGATGGGACACGGCTGCCTCCGAGACTTCGAGTCCCAGCCGCCGCCGGGGTCCTGGAGCGGGATCTGGGAAGCTTGAGACCGAGCCCAGCCCGCCGCCCGCCCGCGCGCGTTCGGGCATCTCCTGCCGCCGCCGCGCGAGCCCGCCCAGCCCCGGGAAACTGAGGCCGGCCCGGCGCCCCCGGCCGCGCCGCGGCCCCCTACTCACCACAGAGACATGGCGGCCCGGGCCGCACGGCGGAGCGGGGCGCGCGGCTCGCAGCTCTGGGCGCCGCGGCTCTGGACGGCCGGCTGGCGGCTGGTGGGGGCAGAGGCCGGGCCGCGCCCCCGCGGCTACTTTCCTCCTCCCGGCGGCGGGGGGAGGGGCGGCAGGGGCGGCGGCGGCCCAGGTGCCTTAACCCCTTCGGCGCCCTCGGCCCTCCCCGCTGCCGACGGCCGGGAACCACCCCATTTCTCCGAGGCGGAACCCGAGGCTCTGCTGGCTCGCGGAGCCAGAACGCGAGGTGCGGACGCGGCACCTTGGAGACCTCGAGGTTCACGTCCTCCCCCCGGAACGCCTGTCCCCATCCCCGTGGAACCTTCTCCGGGGATCGGCCCCTCTTGAACGGCGCGGAGCCCGAACACCGTTCATTTCCCCTCTGGCCAGGTTCTGACTTCTAGGGGGCTGTGGACAGAGCGTCCCCACCGGTGACTTCCTCCACTCTGAAGGCTTCCACACCAGCAGCCTGTTTGCCCCAGCCCAATCTCCTTTCTTTTCATCCACCAAAAAACATTTCATTCAAAGCCCTTTGTGTCCCCAAGTCTTTATTAATGTATGGGGTGCCAGGTTCACCTACTGTGTGTGTGGGGTGCACCTAGACATCGAACATGGAGGGGACATTCGGCTCAAGCAGAGTCCCATCTAAGTGACTTTGCGAGTCTCCAGCAAGTAAAAAGCCTTTGCCCTATTTGCTGTCATTCAGATTGTTCTGGTCTTGTTGCATGTTGAAATCTCAGGGCTGAGCACCCAGTAAGACCTAAAAAATGCCCATAGAATTGGGTGTGCTAGCTCACACCTGTAATCCTAGCATTCTGGGAGGTCCAGGGGGGAGTATCGCTTGAGCTCAGGAGTTCAAGACCAGCCTGAGCAACAGAGAGACCCTGTCTCTACTAAAAATAGAAAAATTGGCAGGGCGCCTGTAGCTCAGTGGCTAGGGTACCAGCCACATACACTGGAGCTGGTAGGTTTGAACCCAGGCCAGGCCTGCCAGACAACAATGACAACTGCAACCAAAAAATAGCTGGGCATTGTGATGGGCACCTGTAGTCCCAGCTGCTTGGGAGCCTGAGGCAAGAGAATCACTTAAGCCCAAGAGTTTGAGGTTGTGAGTTGTGATGCCACAGCACTCTACCAAGGGCGACATAGTGAGACTCTGTCTCAAAAAAAAATTAATTTAATAAAAGAAATAAAAATAGAAAAACTAGCTGGCCACTTGTAGTCCCACCTACTTGGGAGGCTGAGACAGGAGGATTGATCAAACCCAGTAGTTAGAAGTTGCTGTAAGCTAGCCTGATGCCATAGCACTCTAGTCTAGGCAACAGAATGCTAGCTGGCTTTAAAAAAAAGTGCCCAGAAAGCTGAAACGGAAGCATCTTATGGTCCAATCATAACAGCTAACCATTGACTGAGTGGTTACAGTATGCCCAGCCTTGTTCTAGGCCCGTGCATGAATGACTCACTTAATCCTAGAGGCATGTACTATTATTATTCCTACCTTACAAAGGAGGAAATGGGGTGCAGACAGGGGACAGCCCACTGAGCTTAGTGAGCAGCTGGCCCCTAGTTGGAAGCAAATCCAGGAGGCCTGCCTGGGGTGAGAGTGGGCCCTGAGCCCTTCCTCAAGCCCTTTCCCAGGTACAGCAGCGACAGGGACTCCCTTTCCTGCCCAGGGGCACACAAGGTGGCCCTAGTAGGTCCTATAACCCTGATGCTGGGGTGAGAAGCTCCTTCAGACCATTCTGTAAGGCTTAAAGTCCCTCTGAAGGGGAAGGAAAAACTTAAGGTGCAATAGAATGTTCTGGGATGTTGTAAGCACCAATTACAGAATGTGATTCAGAGAATTCCTGAGCTGAACCCTGGGGACAGAGCCCTTTGCAGTGGCCCTCCTAAAGTCCCAGAGCAGGTAAGGGACTTGCTGGCCTAGCTGCCTGCCACTGAGGGCCATCCACACCCCCTGAGGTGCCTATGGCCCCTTTCTTCCCAGATCAACCCTGGACACTCATTCCCACAGAGCACCTTCACTCCACTGCCCAGGCTTCTGGGTTGTCCCCTTTTATCCTGCAAGTATGGCCTTGAGGAAGGGCTGTGGAGACTCTCCTGGCTTTGCACAAGGGATCCTTCAGAGAAGATCCCACCTGGCCTCACCACTGACCTTTGACCTGAGTCCTGTGGGGTCTTCTTAGGCGCCCATTGAGGGGCAGACACAGGGAAGGGGTTTTGTCCCTGGGAAGGGGTTTTGAGTCTGTGTTTAGGGTTGGACCTGGGCGCTGCATTTCCTGGATGTCACTAGGGGCAGGTGGTTTATCCCCTTGAGACCTCAGTTTCCTGCCAGCCCAGGGTCATGTGAGATGACGCATATGAAGCACGTACACCAGTGTCCCCTTCCCACTGAGCATCATCGGCAGCTGCTAGTGATGTTATGATCAGTATTTGCCTTATTCACAAGGCCCCAGAACTACAATGCTCAAGGAGGCAGTAATGGAGGGGAGTTGCCCAAGGTCAGTGGAGTGGTTTACCAGTGGACTCTGGTCAATTCAGATGAACAGGTTGTCATCACAGAATCATTTGATCTGTGCTAGGTGGAACTCAGAATGGGAAAATGAATGACGAGTTCCCATGGTGGGGTGGGGGTGGGGAGTGTGGGAGCCTGGCCAGACTCTGGCTGGCAGAGTAACCCTGCCTACCCCCCAATCCAGCTGGCGCCACCTGTCCCAGCCCTGAGGGCAGAGCCCAGCAGATTCCTGGGGAGGTTGATCAGGCCTTCAGCAGGAAGACAGGTCAGTGCTGGAATCTGCCCCCTGCTCTGACTGCAGGCAGAGCCCAGAGGTGGATGGAAGTCACAGATCCAGAAGGAGGCTGGGGGTGTGGGGAAGAGAAGGATGAGCTAGCTGAGTAGTCTGAGGGAGGTGGGTTTTGTGTCCTTGTCACAAGGTTACTGTCTGGGTGCTTCGGGTTGCCGCTCTGGAAGAGGGAGCTTAGTGAGCTGAGATGTGGGAGGATCCAAAGAAGTGCCCCCTTCCCCCACCTCATCCCTGCCCTGCCCCCTTAACCCTGCAGAATCGCCCTATTGGTGACCACAGCCCAGGCTTTTGCCAGGGACAAGAGCTTGCAGAGACCTGGGTTGGCTTGGAGTGAGAAGTCCTCTGACCAGCCAGAGGATGCACTGGGACAAGGTGGGGGCTGACTTGGCCCAGAGGACCCTTGAAAGCAGATAATGAGGAAGCTTGAGCATCTGGCAGAGAGGTAGAAAGTCAGTGGGCTATAATCACTTCAGCACATCCTGTGACGTTATGCTCTGTGAGCGTGTGCATTAATTTTAGTGTCTGAAAGACCTTGAGCAGAAGCCTACACTCCAGGGGCAGCCACAGCCAATGCTTCAAATGTGGCTATCTACACTCACAGCAGGGAATCTGTGAATTAGCACTGAAGCATCAGAAATCATTGTCTTTAGTGGAAGGAGTGTCCCTGGAGATATGAGCCTGGCAAGAAACACTGCAAGTCCCCTCTGTTTATGCCTGAATGAGTCCAGCAACCTAGCAGGGTACCCCTGGGTCTAGAACTTTCTTTCTCTGGGTGGCCATGGGCCCTCCCACATAATGATTTCACCAGAGTGGATGGTCAGTATGTCCTTGAATTTACGCTGAGAGATTTCTTGAAAGGGCAGAGTGGGGTGGGTCTTCCCTGGGCTCGTGGCCTGGGGGGAATGTCTGTTTTTGTACTTTGTGCTAAAAGCCATCTTCAGTGGGGTAGAGACTTGACTTCATTGTAACATATACCTGATGAGAAAGTGTGGGGGTAAGACCTACTGTTTTCAACTGCCTCTCGCCCTCAGAGGCCACCAACATTCACTACAGAGAACTCATCCCATCTTGTAGGGCAGTGTTGAGGAGGCCTGGAGGCTCCCCAAAGCTTCTGAGTTAAGGACCACCGCACAGACCAGTGCTGGGGCAGGACCTGGGTCTGGAGCCAGGGAAATGGAATGGAGGATGAAGAGAGGGGAACACATTTCCCTGTAGGATGGGACCTCCCTTTCAAGGGTGGGAAGAGGAGGAGGAAGCAGGTTGGAGCCAGCAGGAGATGAGGGATGGGAGAGTCTAGGAGGAAGAAGACAACCATGTCTTCCAAGCCTGGGTGGTTGGCCGGATGTGATGGCTCACATCTGTAGTCCTGGAACTCTGGGAGGCTGAGGCAGATGGATTGTCTGAGCTCACAGGTTTGAGATGAGCCTGAGCAAGAACAGGACCCTGTCTTGTTGGGCATTATGGTGGGTGCCTATAGTCCCAGCTACTTGGGAAGCTGAGGCAAGAGGATCTCTAAAGCCCAAGAGTTTGAGGTTGCTGTGAGCTATGATGCCACAGCACTCTACCAAGGGTGACAAAATGAGACTCTGTCTCAAAAACAAACAAACAAACTGGTGGTCTGGTTTGGAGTGTGGGAAATCCCCTCAACCAAGAGAAGACTAGGCACAAAAGAAGCACAGATCACAAGGATCTGAGCTGAAAATGGGAGGAAGTTTAAAAAAGTCCCACATAGGATCCTTCCAGAAGCAAGCATCCTAGTACAGGAGGAACCTGGGTCGCCCTCTGTGGCCCAGTGCTGCCGAATAAAGCATCAAGCAAGAAGACAGCATTGCCACACCTGTGCAGGTGTTCAAGATGCCGATTCCAGGGCCTGCCTGCAGAGAGGCTGATGGAGCCCAGGAGACTGTATTCTCCCAAAGGTTCTCACTCTTTCCCCATGAGTGTGTGTGTGGGGGAAGAAGAGATGGGGAAGCAGATCTGGAGGAAATTGGGGCCAGAGAAGAGGAGAGTTGAGGAAGTTCAACTTTCCCACTGAAGTAGGTGACAGTTGAGGAAGCAGAAGTGGGTTTAGGAACATGAGAAGAGTGCGGGAGGTGTCACGGACTCCTTGTGGGATCTGAGAAAGCTGACAGGGGGTGGGACGGGACAATGAGGCATGTAGAAGGCCAGGCATGGGTGGATCTGGCACCCTGGAAACCCAGGTGAATGGCTCAGGCAGGAGTGGCCCAAGACTCTTCTGGTTGCAAGTTACAGCAATCTGACTCAAAATAGCTTGAACAAAAGACATTTGTTAGCTCATATAGCCACAGGACACCCCTGCCCCAGTCTGCCCATCCCTGAC